AGGGTTTAAGGTTTAGGGCTTAGTGTTTAGGGTTTAGGCTTGTAGGCCTTAAGGTTTAGGTTTAGGGCTTGACCTTTATGGGGTTTAAGGTTTAGGGTGTAGGGCTTAAGGTTTAGGGTTTTGGGTTTAAGGTTTATGGGGGGTTTAAAGTTAAGGTTTTCACGGATGCGATATCTTCGTGATGGCTACACTGCACGAGGCCTCAGAGGCGTCATGAGGAGGGGAAATGCGTTCTGTTCAGGATCTGCTCTGACACAATGTTGCCTCGAATTGGAGGTTCATGGATTAGTTATAAGTAGGGTTAATGGGATAACTAACCCATACTAAAGGGACTTATAACCGTACATATGACTAACCATGAACCGCCAAGTACAACACCCTACAGTCCCGGATCGTTGATTGAATGCTAAGGAAGCCGAAAATCTTGAATGTTGCAAGCGTGGTTGCAAACACGCTTGACCCTACCCTGCGGAACAGAGGAAGTCCTGCAGACAAACATTAAAGCCCAAACCAAAAACCACCGACGTCTCAGCACGCTGCCGTTCTTGTCCAATCCCATGAAAGTGTCGCGCAGAGCCTCTCAAGCAAGCTACATAAACCCAACAACAGCGGCCCGCAATCAGCTGCAGAGATGCCGAAACCCAAAGCCCAAAACCTTGTTTAGGCAGAGGAAACTACAGGTGGGGAGTTTAGGGTATATAGGGCTTCTATAAGGCTTCTATAAGGTATATAGACCTTCTATAAGGCTCCTATAACGGTAACTACCCACCTGAAAATGTCCTAGATCTAGGAAGGGGGAGATGGTTTGAACGAATGCGTGCCACGAAGAAGGGGAAACTGACACAAAATGTTCCATCCCCGTCTTGCACCGGGACCCGCCTCGGTAAAAACACTGTTGTAAGCCGTCGGGTATCGCAAAAAAGGTTCGAGGACCCAACCCTAAACCCTAAACCCTAAACCCTAAACCCTAAACCCTAAACCCTAAACCCTGCACGGATCCTCTGAGCAGGGGTCTGGTGTTCACGACTTCATGTAGGAGCCTTGCCTCAACAATTAGAA